GCCGTGCAAACCTTTTTAAAAAATTCGTCTGCTGCTGGGGGGTTGGCAAATCCACATACTGGCTGGCCTACAAAGAAATATTTAATCATCCACAAGAATACAGTAACTTTTTGTCGAGATTAAAGAAAGTAAAAAAAATTAATTTTTCCTTCTGCACCTATCAATTAATGTTTTATTTATTAAAGTCTAGTCCTACCGATTGCTAAGAGTTGGTTTACAGTTCTTTTTTTTCCTCCTAATTTTAACTTTTTGATAAAAACCACTGTTTGAAAACTTCTAAAGCAACTTCATCCCAAGAAAAGCAAACTTGCTACACTGAGTAACTCGTACATCTCTACCTCAAAAACGAAGTAACAACGTAAGGATAATAAACAGAGAAAAAAAAGCAAAGGAACAGGCAGAATAATATATTGTCATTAATTTTTATGCTGATAGCTAAAATAATGCTATTGAGAACGAATGATAATATAAAACAAAATAGGTTGAAAAAAGACAAATATGAAAAATAAAAGCCAAAAATTGATGAACACAAGAAACAAGAATTTATATTCTTAAGAAATTTACATAATGATGACAGCACAACGGTTATTATCCAGATAAGTCTGCAGTTTCACTTTTTCATCTAACATTTTTCTTTGTTAGCCAAAATCTCTTTTCCCCAAAATGTAAAAGCAACTAAAACAACAGCTGTAGAAAGACAGCAAAAAAAGAAGTATGAAGTTCCAAATCACTAGTATAAAAAAGTCACCTTTCAACTGTTAAGTTCAGGAGATTTAATGATGCAGTTAACAATTTATATTACCTCCGTCAAATGTTCTGTTTCACTGCAGAAGAGCATTTACAGCAACAACGACGAGAAAAAAAAGACGGATATGTCTCAAAAAATAAAACGGGATCTAAATTAAGCATCTAAAAACAGACCACAGGTTGACAACCGCCAATTTTTTTAACGATAACAACTACCGTTCCTGAGCGCATCCGACCGGACTGGATAAGGAATATGCCTGAGGCTGCGTTTTCAAGCAGCAACCGGACGCAACTTCCATCGGCAATGACCACATTTGAAGCGGTTACTCAGTTAAACTGTGCTGTTATATCAAGTTTTTTTATACACTAACTAATGTTACAGATTCTGAGTGTCTTCAGGATATTGCTGATTACCTGTGATCATCGCTTCTAGGCGTTTTCGATCCACCTGTATTTTTTCTTCCACTTGACCTTCGACATTGGCGTTGAATGTTGGTTTGTCATCCGAACTTGGTGTATCAATATCTCGCTCCTCTTCACTCATGCACTTTCAGGCTGCAAAAAAAAAGAAAAAAGAAACGAAAGAAAAAAGCGACAACTAAAAACAATCATAGCGATAACCATATTTTGTAGTGCCAAATTTTGTGACAAGTCAAACGACCACAGGAAACACGGTAACAGAAGAGTTTTTTCAACCAAATTTTTCAGTCTATTTCTTTCAGCTTCTATTATGTAATAATTTGTTAATAAGTTGGTAACATCTTATTGTAGTTTTTTTTCCTTATTTCTTTTTCTCGTATTATACCGGAAGAAATAATTCGCGGAAATAATCAGGAAAGTAGAAAAAAAGAACCACAACATATTAGAAATTCATTGACAGTTTCGAAATACCAGGATGAAAAGTGGAAAGACACGAAAAAAGCCAAAAACTGTACGAATAACAAACAGCACCACCAAATAAGGAATTAAGGCATCCAATTTTCAACTTATCACTTAACATCATTGAAAAAATTTGGTATTAGTTTTTATTTATTATCATTATCTCATTTTGATTCCTTCAAGCATCTCTTGTTGTAGCCTTGTTATTTTTTTGTTCCTATTTACCGCTAAACTTATCTGTATAGGGATAAACGAAGTTCAAAAAGCATTGTATCTATCAGAAAAAAAAAATTTTTACTTACAGTTTGAAGTTCTAGGTTTTCAAACACAAACAATAGCTGTTAATATACAGTTGTCAATACCATTAGTAGGGCCAAAACTGTGTATTTTTTGATATGTACAACAACAAAAATAGCTACAAATATTTTTATTCTTCAGATTTGTTAAAGATTTCTATGCCTTTTTCGGTCTCATATTCGTTGGTCAATTGTTTTTTCATTTCTTTCGTTTTGCAGGTAGCCGTTGACACTAGAAGCGTAAAAGTAACACCTTATGTCGGTCTATGCATCAATGAGTTTTCTTCTCTTTTTTATTATTATCATTTTTTTTTTTTTTTTTTTT